CCCCAAAACCCCAAAACCCCAAAACCCCAAAACCCCAAAACCCCAAAACCCCGAACAATTTATAAGAAGCTGAATAAATTTATAATTTAACAGTTGACATCATGGAATCTCTAGGTAAGCTCTTCGCCCCCAGAATTGAGACTTTCACTATGAAAAAGCGCCCATGACCTTACTTGTGGCTTATAATTATTTTGAAATAATAGATGGCGATGAATTCGAAGAAAATGAAGCAATTGTAAGCATTTTTCCTAAATTATAGTGGAAATGGAAAATGAACCAATGGCTAAAGAAGCGTGGGAAATCAGAGTACATTGACTTTGATATTGAAGAATTGAAGAAATTGAGGTATTATTTTGACTGAATTGATGAGAAAAACCAAGGTAAATTTCATCCAACTTAACGTTTATAGATGCTATTGGAGTCTCAGAGCTTGAAGGTAACATCCTAAGACAATCGCATAACCTATAGATCCTTTAATAGCCCTAGGGCTTGTAGATAACAGAGACGAGGTCCAGAAAATAGTCAATGATGTTGATGATGACAACACTGGCATGATTGAATTCAATGAATTTCTGGAAATTATTAAGATAGGAAACTCTAACGCAAAAGATGCAAGCGATAAGACTGTTAAAATCTATAATTTCTTTAAGTCTCTTACCACAGGGAAGTTTAACCCTGAAGGGAAAGAGCTTATCTTCAAGTAAGCATTTAGTTTTGACCTCTAGGCTATTTATCTCTAAGTACAGGAGAGAGCAGATATTAAACTCAATGATGAGTAAGAATCCAAATGAGAAAAAGATCGGGACCAAGGTAAGATCCTTAGATGAGAAAATCAATTAAATTTTTGGAAGTAATCTCTTGTGCTCCTCTTCTCATCTCTCTGGTTTAAATATTCTTGAGATAAGAGGACCCATAAATTGGGATAATATTTTTATCTTTCATGATCAATTCTCATAGATCCTGAATAACTACAGGAATCAACTGGCATATAACAAGGGAAGGGAGCAAATCCAAAATCTGGGACAGGATAAAGGACACGTAAGCTCCCATTGTCTAATCTCTAGCTTGATGGCAGTAGGTTCCAGTTCATCATAATGTTGGCAATGATGAAATATTTTAAATATTTTCATCGGGATTCTTCTTAATATATTTATGAGAAACCTTAACTGGAAAAGCAAATTTTTAACTTTGCTTTCGGAGATGGTTAAAGACCTTTTTAAAAAGATTTGGTTCATTGCTTAACCATAGTAGCTTATAATCTTTACCTATGCTTTCATTAGTCTACTTACGTTTGTTATTGTTTGCTTAGTCTGATGATATAGAGTCAGGGTTTCCAGAAATTTCAGACGTATTCTCAACACAACCTCCAGAACCAGACTTCTTATTTGAAATCCTGGAGCAAAAGAACGATGACCCTGAAGACAATGGATACGGCAGTGATGAAGATTAATCAACATAAAAAGTGATTTCCAGAGCTTCTCGGTCTTTTAACTCAATTTTGAATAAACCATGCGGGGTTTTGGGGTTTTGGGGTTTTGGGGTTTTGGGGTTTTGGGG